CACACACACTCACACGCTCACACACACACACACAGACATCATAAAGCTTTATCCTGAGTGGGCTGTAATCAGTGGTCACCATGGCAACGTCCAATCAGGAGCCCATTGTGGCACTGTGCTGCTGTTTCAGACCTGGACCTGAATGAGGACCTGGTTGAGGACATGTGGCTGGGCGTCTCCGTGGCCAGTCAGGGCCGACCTGGAGGGCGGGTCCTGGTGAGTCTGTGTTCTGATTGGCTGATCAAGCTGTTTGTAAATGTTCACATTGATTTAAAGGGCCAGTACCCACAGTAACAACTGTTATATATATTAATATTAATAATACCTGAGCACACGTTGTTGTAGTTGCTAACTAACTAACTAACTAGGTAACCGACCCGCTCTCCCCCGGCAGGCGTGTGGCCATCGGTTCGTTAAATTCTACGGAGAATTCAAACTCAGACACATGATCGGACGCTGTTATATCCGTGGAAACGACCTGAAGTATGACGACTCGGACATGCACTGGCAGAACCCACACCAGCCCTGCAGGTAGCTCACCTGACGCACCGGACGCTGGTCACACAGGTCATATGATATTTCCTGTCAGTAAACGTGTGTGTGTGTGTGTGTGTATCAGTCACCTGGGTGATGTCAGCCGTGAGGTCATGTGTAACATGGGGATTTCTGCCTCCATCACTCAGACTGAAGTCATCGTCGGCTCACCTGGAAGCTACGAGTGGCAAGGTGAGCCTGAACCTGTCAGCAGGACTTAACGTCTGTTGTTCTCGCCATTAACGAGTGTGTGTGTGTGTGCAGGTAACGTGCACGTCTCGTGGATGAACCCGCTCGTTGAATTCGACACCCAGAGGAGCTCCTTCCCCAACCTGAAGAAAAGAAGACACATTTATATAGGTGAACTGTCCCTTTAAGAGCCCAGTGAACACATATTGATCCTGCAGTGATCAGATCTCAGCCCGATCAATACAACCTGTGGCAGACAGCGTTTTTCCTCAGGAGGCGGTCCTTCAGCGCGGACCAGGACACTTTAGAGCTGTGACCTCTGACCTCTGTTTGTGTGTGTGTGCAGGATATTCGGTCACTCAGGCCCGTCGTCTTCTCTCTCAGGAGGATGAAACCATCGTAACAGGTGATGAACTGTAAAGTACTGAAGTAAAAGCTGATCTATTGATCGACTGGCTGACTTATTGATTGGTGTATTGACGAACAGGAGCTCCTAAGGACAGTAAAGAAGACGCTCTTGGCTCTGTGCTGTTGGCGGTCAAACGCTCTCAACAGCTGATCGTTAACCAGACGCTGCGCGGCGAACAGATGGGCTCGTACTTCGGTAACGCCGTGGCAACCACAGACCTCAACAATGACGGGTAACGGCGGGTTCACACTGAGGTCACATCCTGCTTTTTATGTCCTGTAACATCCTGACAACCTTTATATTACATTTCAGTTTGTTCACTGTGTTAATTATAAGATAATGAATCCTCTCTGCAGTGGTAGGTTGAATATTCTGCCTTTACTCCACCAATAATCACATATTTCTGATTTATTGTCAATAAACGGATCAATATGTTGCCGAAATAATTCATATAATCAATAACTCTGGAAATCACTGATCATTGTTGTGATCCTCTGCAGGTGGAACGACCTCCTGGTGGGTGCTCCTTTTTACTTCCACCGTCAGCAAGAGTGGGGCGGGGCAGTTTATGTTTACATGAACGCGGGAGGCGGGTTCGACCCTCGGCCCAGCGTGGTGCTGAGAGGACCGGCTGGGTCGGCGTTCGGTATGTCGGTTGCCGCCGCCGGAGACCTCAACCAAGATGGCTTCCAGGGTGAGGACGCCGGCGATGAACTGGTTGTAACGTGTGGAAAGAACTGAGGAAGAATCCAACGTGTGTTTTTGTGTTTCAGACTTTGCGGTCGGAGCTCCTTTCCATGAGACAGGAAGTGTTATGATCTGGAGCGGGAGCAGCGAGTTGGTCTCTACAGAACCGAGCCAGGTCTCACAGTAAACACAGATCCGTATGATGAGAGTCAGACTGTGGATCACACCTGTAACTCCCCTGTCTCTCTCTGCAGGTGATCCGGGGCAGCAGGGTCTCTCCTGGGTTCAGGACCTTCGGGTACTCTCTGTCTGGAGGGGTGGACGTTGATGGGAACAAATATCCAGACCTGCTGGTCGGCTCTCTGGACGCCACCGTGGCTCTGCTCAGGTACGTCAAACCCTCCAAATCTGTACCAGCGACTTTATACTGAGAGTAGCAGTAAAAACGCCCTAAAGGTCACAGAGCCGGTGAGCGGAAGGTCGTCGGTTCAATACCCGTCCTGATAAACCTGGGTAGGAAAAGTGAGGAAGCAGCGTTTTCTCCACCCTCATTACCCCTACTGAGGTGGTATAATTATACTAATTAACTAACCAACTAACTAACTAACTAATTAACTATACTACTATAGAACCAGCTAGCTAACGAGCTATATACTAATGTATTACCTCAGTAAACAGTTCCAGGTGACCCACATTAACCAGTTTAGTTCTGACAGTAGTGTTTAAATTTGTATAAATAAATGTGTAGCAGCTGTTTCATGTTATTGATTATATGTTAACATGATTGATTGATTGATTGATTGATTTCTTAGGACTCGTCCAGTTGTTCAACTCAATAAAACCCTCAGTGTTTCTCCGGACATCGTCGACCCGAACAATTGTGACTACTGGTGAGTTTCAAACCTGCAACATGCTAACAGCTAACACGCTAACAGGCTGATTCACTGTGTGTGTGTGTGTCTGT